CACTTATAGGTTTCGTAATAAGATATTTGAAAAGTTCGTGAATATTGCTTACCCTGCCTCTTATCGTTAAATATTGATGCAATTTTTGGCAAAACAAAAACACCCGCTCTACACAAACTGCCATCCACCACATCTTCAGTCATGTGATATAAAACCACCAATAAATTATCAAAATTATCATTTGCTACATAAAATTAAAAGGGTTAATAGTTGTTATGCTGTGTTCTGATAAATAATTAGTCCGCAAGATAGCGTTTCGCCAATCATCGCCTCTAAAACGGGTTTGTTCATTTCCCAACGGTAATCAGCTATAGCAATCATAAAACGTAGCGGCCCGCTAATAAAACACACAATATGTTTTTTTCGTAATAAACGTAATCAAAACGAGGAGCACAATAGAGGAGCGCTTCACGGCTCATAATCACGTAGCCGGGGCGCTAAATATCACTGACTCTAGCACCCTGGAGACCGCCGCCATAGAAAATTGTTTTTCGGTTTCGGCACCGCCCCTCTGGCAACACCCTACATATAAATCGCACCTCGGATCCAACACAGACCACTGTTTTGCCGGAACGACGCGATCGCGAAGTGACTACGATTTTTTAGTGACATAAGTGACAAGTGGCAGATCAAAAAAGCGCTTTTTAGGTATTTTTCATAATTTTTTAATATAAACCCATTAGGGCTTAAACTTGACTATCAAATTTCGTTTAGAAAAATGACCATTAATATTTTAAAGAATTTGCCCACCGAGCTCATTTTTTATAATACACCGAAAAAAGCTATTCTACTCTCTAAAAATGAATTAGTCAAAAATGACTAATTTGATAGTCATAAGTGGCTGCTTTTTCACTTGTACCATGGTTAACCATGGAATACCCTGGTATCCAAAAATTTAACAGCCAATTCTTTTGTAAAATTGTCCCCTGAATCCGAAAATACCGTCAAATATTATAAAAGTGGAGCAGTTTTTGAGATATAGTCAATTCCATATTAAATGGAAAATTGACTATATCTCAAAAACTGCTTCACTTTTTTAAATTTTGACGACATTTTCGGATTCAGGGGACAATTTTACATAATAATTAGATTAGAAAATTTTTGAATACCATGGTATTCCATGGTTAACCAGAGTACAAGTGAAAAAGCAGCCACTAATAACTATTAAATTAGTCATTTTTGACTAATTCATTTTTAGAGAGTATATTATATTATATTTTATATTATGTACCTATCTACCTATATCCATATATAATATTTACTGCAATGATATTTTCAAACCTTCAGGCACGTTGAAATTGTTTGCGAGACGGACATTTTTTGGCTATATTGGCCTGTTTAACCAAATTTATTTTTCGTACCTATCATCTATAAGTGAAATATACATAATTGTTTTTTGTGTGATTTTTCGGCCAACCTAATATCATTCCAACATCTGAAATTCAATACATAATACTACACACATAAATATAATTATGTTATAATTATTACCTACACATACATTTGGTGGTTAATTCTATCAATTTTGTGAGTGGGTGATATTTTTAAGAATAGGCCAGTCGTACCAATATTTACTAATAGAATAAAAATAATTATATTTATATCCAGTATAGTTTTATATCTTTAAAAACAGAATAGAGGTAATTTTTCAAAATTTGATCCAATCGATTGTTAATCTTAAATTAAGAATAAGAATATTTCATTTAAAGTCTTTCTTAATAGTTAACAGGCAAGGATAAGATCTGCTTGTTTAAAGGAAGATTAATATTTAGTTAATGTTAATGTTAGTTTTTGATAATATCATCTTGTTTCAACTGTACTTGATTTTAAGCTAATCTTTTTAATTTAAGGATAGGTTAAAATAAATTTAATGTATTCGTAGCCTAAGCAAATTATATTTAAATCGTGAATTTTTTTAAGAATAAAGGTATTCTTACATTTAGAAATCATTTTTTTTGTGTATTTTGCTATTAAACATTGTTAAAATCATACAATTAAAACACGCCATTAATTAATAATTATCAGTAAAACTTAATCAGACTTCTGATGTTTAAATAAACAGTTTTAATTACAATAAAATTATAATAAGAGCTGTCATATTTTTGATTGACAAGATTGCAATCTTTAAGAACAAGTTCAATTTTTTAACACAAACCAGTACTTTTTGTATGACACTGTATGTATGTATAATATTTTTTATGTTTATAATATATATACAGGATGTGTCACATTCGATAGTTTTTTTTTAAATAAATGGTTAAATATACAAGCTGTCCTTAAAGTTAGTGGCATAAATTTAGGAGCAGATTAAGGAAGTCAAAATAAGACGAAAATCTAAATAAATATTTTTCCTAATTACGTATGTTTAAAAGATACAGGGTGATAAAGTGTTACTTACTTAAAATATCACCTTTCCAAGTCTATCATAGTAGAAGTTATATTACAAAAACTGATATGATAAGTAACACTTTATCTCCCTGTATATTGGAAAAATAAGTAATTAGGAAAAAGTCTTATTTTGACTTGCTCAATCTTTTCTTAAATTTATGCCAATAAGTTTAGGGACACCTTGTATATGGTCGAATTTTGCTTCCTCCTTGATAGGGTCTAAAAAAATGTCATGGGTCCATGAATAAGACCATGATATTCCTATGTATTTTTACTAATTTGAATCCAGTTTAACTTCTAAACGTCTCAATTTTTATTCCATCAAAATTATTAACTATAAAAAATTCAGGTTCAACTTTTTATGAGTCTAAATTTTTGCACAGTATAATTTTAAGTGTTTTATAAAAATCTACTAACTACAACAACTTTCTTGTTCCAAACAAAAATAGGACTACCTATAGGAATATTATGCACGTATTTCAAGGCAATCTTTTTTCTGCATAGGGTGTTCCCGGATTAACAAGCCGCAATATTATAACAATATAACTCCTATTTCTCTTAACATTCATCATCACATTTAACTATAAAATATTGAAAATATGAGCTCGGTCAAGAGAATAAATTTGAATATTTATCTAAAGGCGATAAATTTTTTGTGCCGGAACAATCGTAAAAATATTTTATTGTGTAATAAATGAATCATCGAGATTTATCCAAATAAATTTGTGGATGCTAATTTCGTTTTAACCGATAAATTGGGGAGTTATCCTCAAGGCTAACCCGATTTTTCGGAAGATTTATCAGAATATGTTTGTGGAGTCCACAATGTGGACGGTAATCTTATTCAACAAGGTCTTATTTCAGGACTTTGTTGTGCTATAAATATAGAACCTGCGTGAGTGTGCACGTGGAAAGCATTTTGTGACAATGTTAGGAGCATTATAATGCTTACAAATGGTTCGTACAAGTGTTACTTGTAGTTTTAAGCATGATTGTCTAGAATTGCTTTTGCTTGTTCAATGTTTATATGTTGTACTATGCCATAAATTAATCATGGGTCTTTCCATCTCAAATTGACAGGTAGTAATTTAATTATTAAAGATTTTGGAGTAAAATGTAAATTCTTAATATTTTTGCTTGTGTTACTTTTAAAAGATGTAAAAAGTATACATAAGTTAATTTTGGTTAAAATAATAAACTTAAAAACGCGATTTCGAAGAAATGTAGAACACAAACAATTCCGAAAAAATTTGGTCGGTTAACTCTTTTTGACTAAGGCTCTATCAGGAAGGGAAATAAGCATTAAGCCTAAGAGGTCCAGAAACTAATGCGCAGGTTAATTATGTTTAGAAATAACAAATTTTTATTTAATTTTATATTTCGTTTTTTTATTTATTGCCAGAGATTTCCTACAATGACCACACTATGGGGCGGTTAGATATAACTTTTTATAATCGTTTCATCCGAATGATTTTATTTAGTAGTTTTAAATCCAAAAAATGTTGAGCAGTTACTTACACCCTTTTGATTCTAACCACCTCAATTATTTTTATTTTATTTTATAAAAAGTTTAGGCGTATGTTTTCATAGGAAATTAAAATGTTAATATCTGATACTTGTTTTAAACACAAAAGTTTAAAAGCCATCTTAATTTATTTACTAAAACCTAATAAAGATTCAAACTTAATTAAGAGTTTAAAAGCGATATTATTAAAAAAGTGGATTTCATTATTTAAAAAAAAATCAATTTTTGAAAGCTCCTAAAAACCAGCATTTAAAAAAAATTATAAAATTGTATTTTTTCCAGAATACTTAGCCCAACATAAAGCAGAAAAGCCAATTTAAGGCACTCTAGATATAGAAATAAAATGTAATCAACATTTGACCTGTCAAAATCTAATTTTATTTTGAATCGAAATGTAAAAAAATTCATAGGGTGTTTCATTAAAAAATTGAAATGATGAACCACGAATTTACTAGAAAATTGAATTTTCATTAAAAAAAATAATATTTCCGAAACGACGAATTTAGCCAACCATATTATTAACTTCAAACGAAAAAAATATAAAGTAAAAAAAATGTGGCGATGTTAAAATTTTTACCTAAATTTTTTTACCTTTTGTAGAAAAAACAATTAAAAAAAATTAAGTGAATTCACTTTTGTATGTAGTAAACATTACCAACAAATTTAAAAAAAATTGTAGCGATCGAAACATTTTTGGACAAGTTATCGCATTTTTAAGAGTAAATGTCACTCGTAAAAAGAGAAAAATCGATATTTCTGTCCATTTTCGCCAGGTCGGTTTGAGATGGTAAGACAATTTTACAATTTGGTATATTTCGTTATTTTACCAATATTATATTGTATGATATAAAATTTTCAGTTTGTTAAGTATTTTATGAGTGTTTTTTTACAAATTGCGTGTACCTAATTATCTACATTTAGTCATGGTCAAAATAATCACATATTTTTCAATCAGAATTTTTTAAACATTTTTTCAAATACGCACATGTGTTATTTCACGGTCTTAATGGATTTTTTTATAGAATTTTAATATTTAGATCAACCCAAAAGGTAAAATCACTTAATTTTGGTTTTTTTTGTTTTACAGGTGCTATATTAGTGCAGGGCGATTTGTCCAGTACCGCATTGGTGGCAGCGAGCGCGCAGCCATCCGCCCCCAGCAGTCCCCAGTCAAGCATGCTTTTGCTCCAGACACAGGTAAATATTTTTATTTCCAGATTTTTCATTTTTTGTTTTTTTTTCACTAAATTGTATAAGTAGATTACAATACTACCAAAAAAATAAACATCCATACCAACGTGGGATTCGAACCCACCCGGTTTTCCAGGTTTTAATAGTATCGAATTGAAAAAAATCAATCCCTCACTGAAATTTGCCGAGTTTCGTTTACATAAATATTTAACTTGGTTTATTTTGGACAAGCTTGACTGAAAATAATTGACAAACATCCCCTCCACATTTGTCCTTCCAACAACACCCAATAAATCATACGATTGAGACGTAAAAATGTAATACACAAGAACAACGATTACGAAATTAATGCAGTTTCATTGTGTGGCGTCGTGTGTATGCGTGAGGCCAGTGCCGGCTTTGGGTAACAAAATATACGATTTTTCTAAAATAATTTTTAACAATAAAAGTTATGTCCACATACTTAAAACGACCTTGTAGTTGAAGAGCACCCTAGATACACAGTAAAAAAATAATCCACACGGAAAAAAGCTATTCTATACATATATATATATATATATATATATATATATATATATATATATATATATATATATATATATATATATATATATATATATATATATATATATATATATATATATAATATAATATATTATATATATATATATATATTAAAGATTAATCATCTCAGACCAAATATATGTTCATCTAACCATTCCGCAAGTATATACTTTTTATTTAAGGACTGATTTATCCTTATTTTTAATTTAAATTAATACTTATTTGAAGGATATAGGGAGTTGAATGCAAGAACTAACCTATACTTATTTGGATATAATTTCAATGTTAGGTGCAAGGGTAAACTTATTCTTATTTCAAGAAAAACCATCAAATTATTTTAAATGCTTAATTTAAGAATAAGCATTTTTTGATACAAATGTTATAATTCTTGGCGATACAATATTTACTTTTGGATTAAATATAAGGTATCTTTATGTAACTTAAGCAATAATTGTTTCAAATATTGTATAAAGTCTTTTTTTAACCTGCTCGACTTTAAATAAAGGTTAGGATATAATGACCATGTTTATTTCAAAAAGTAGAGTGGATTATGCTATCTCTTTTTTTCTAAGACTGATAGAGAAAAAAGATAGGATTAAAATAAACATGGTCATTATATCCTAATCTTTAAAGTCAAGCAAAATTTAAAAAAAGAATAGACAATATTTGGAACAATTATTGCTTAACTTAATCTGTAGCATTATCTATATTACATAACTTTTTACAATGTTCAAAAACATATCAACCTATATGTTTTTTGTGATTCTTCGGCCAACCTAATATAACCCCAACAAATTCAACACTACACACATAAATATAATTATGTTTTATTTATTACCAACACATACATTTAATTCTATCAAATTCCACTAATTTAGCAGCTCTTTCATAATTCCAAACCAAATATTAACTAACACAAGAAACAATCTTCCAAAATATCGGACACACTCGTGAATAGGCCAGTCGTAAAAAATTTTACTAATCTTAGAATAAATATAATTATATTTATATCCAGTATAGTTTTATATATTTAAGAACAGAATAGAGGGAATTTTCCAAAATTTGGTCTAATCGATTGTTAATCTTAAACTAGGAATAATATTATTTCATTTAAAGTCTTTCTTAACATTTAACCGCCAAGAATAAGATCTGCATGTTTAAAGAAAGATTAATATTTAGTTTAATGTTAGTTTTAGCATTGACAATATTAGGTCAATCATCTTGTTTCTGTACTGTACTTGATTTTAATCTAGGAAATAAAAACTTTTAAATTTAAGGATAGGTAAATATTTAAAAGAAATTTAATGTATTCGTAGCCAAAGAGAATTTTTTTAAGAATAAAGGTATTCTCACATTTAAAAAACATTTTTTTCCGTGTGTACACTGTACACTGTACAGTGTACAGGATACTTGTGGTATAAAAGAAGGATTTGAACAATTTATCAAGAACATGCTGTTAAATACGGCACTGCGCATATGTATAGCACCGACATGAAGCATGACAGCGTAGGTAAAAGCGCCTGGCGTCAGCTCAAGCGAAGTGATGCTGGAAAAATGCGTCGACCGACGTGAATAGAGAGCGTAGAAAACGGTTGTGCACGGGGCTGCATTAGGCACGGTTGTCGCCCATAAGTCACTGTCTCTCTTCGGGGACTGCACATAGGAGTTAGATGCTGGCCAACGATAAGCGCCGTAATACGATAGTTTCCTTTGTGGCATCGAACATATGGCAATTGAGCCACATGGGAATTCGAAAGATACACTTCGCGATTTTTATCGTCGCATCGCAAACGAAACTTGTTGTCAAAACATTTGTTTATTGGGGGTTGGTCTTTCCTCACCCCTTAGCTGTTTGCGAACCATTACGGATTATTGTTGTATCCTGATTTAATTATAGCGATGACACTTTTGTCTGTTAATGATGATGGATGTTAACTGGTAAAATATGCATACTTATTGTATAGTGTTTTTTAATAAAAAGCTAAATATTTTAAACACTATGTATGATGAAAAATAGAACACGTACACGTTCATAATATAATATTATAATCTTTTCAAATATTGGCGCCAAAAAACTATTTAATATATTAAATATTCTTATGTATTTTTGTATTGAGATAATAATAGTTATTTTCCTACCAAGTGCGCAAAGTTACATTTTTCCGCACTCTTCTGCAAGCAGTAAGTGCGGAAAAATTACTTTGCGCATGTGTTAGACACAATATTTTTTCTACTAGCGTGCGCAAAGTTAGATAACTATGATTATTAAATTAATTTTTATTAATGTTTATTACAAAGGATATTTTCTAAATTATATGTAAAACAGGTTAATTCATTTAACGGGTGACTTGTACTATTTAATGAAGTTTGGCTTAACTCAGAAGAGACGTTTTTTATGTCCAATATTTTATTTGATAATTTTTTCTTGGGTCATCGATTCTTTTATGTAGCTCTCGGCGACAGCCGTTGATTTCCAGCCTCCAAGTCGCTTGACATTGGAAATTATTTCCCCAGAATCGGCTAATATGGTAGCGGAGGATCTACGAAAACTATGACCTGTGTACTTCTCATGATTTTTAATTTTTAGATATGCAGCTATTTGTGCAGGCATTTTACCAAATGTATTAATTCCTACACATTGGGTAGTGCATGCACTACCCAAAATTTCGGACAGTAAAAATTACACATCAAGAATCTTTGATATCTGATGAAATCAATAATGGTCATTACTTACAACTGTTTTGAAAATATTCAAATTTGCGAAAACCAAATACCCCACACAAGCGGTTTTTTTGTCAATTATGTTATGTTATGCTCTTCTTTTATAATTGACAAAAAAACCGCTTGTGTGGGGTATTTGGTTTTCGCAAATTTGAATATTTTCAAAACAGTTGTAAGTAATGACCATTATTGATTTCATCAGGTATCAAATATTCTTGATGTGTAATTTTTACTGTCCGAAATTTTCACGATTACCAAATTTTCTATATCATCAATCATCTTTGAGACCTCTTCTCGCATACAAACACCAGCCAACCCAAAAATAGTGGCAACTTTTATTAAAAGGTAAATTTCATCTGATGCTTCTTTAATAAATCTTGAAATGTCATCTTTCTTAAAAAATCTTTTGGTCGGTATCCCACATTTATGTTAATTTATAATATAGACTCAAACCCAAATTTTGATTAACTTTTAGGACACTTTTTAACATGGAGTACCGTAAACACAGGTGGCTTTAGCTCACTTTCAAACTTAATCTTAACATTTTTGTAGTTTTAACAATCATAAACCTTAAATATTGTATACCAAAATTTGAGTCTTGAGTTTTTATTTCATAATAAATATGTTATAATCTTACATAGGGCTGAGTTTCAAAAATAAAAATTAAAAACTGGGTGTGCAAAGTTACCCCCTGGTTGCGGGTTACTTTGTCTCACAGTGTATTTTCCGTATAAAATTAACTCAATATTTGATTTTATTTTTATTAGACATATGTTAGCAGCGACATATAGCAATTGCAAGGGGTTGCCGATAAAAACAATAAAAATTCGACCTGTAGTTAACCAAGGATCATCATTCCAAAGAATTGCGCATAATATAGAAATTGAAACGCGTGTATTTTAAAGAGCTTTGCACTAATGCAATGTATTCAATTTTAAAGTGTAATAAATCCCATTTATTTTTTTAAAACACTGATTTTCCTGTAATATAAACTCAATAGAATCACTCAATTGACAGGTTTAGACTAACAAATTATAAATGTTAATTTTATCGAGCGCGAAAAGATTTTTCATAAAAGGGCTAAAGTCACCCGCGGGGTGCAAAGTCACCCGTGTTTACGGTACTTGCTCCACAAAGTATTTGGCTGATATGATTTTCTTAAATCCGCAAAGTAGGCCAGAAACACTTCTTCCTTAAAACTTTTTGTCCCTTTGTTGTTGCACCAGTTTTCAAAATGTTTCTCATATTTTTGACAGGATTTCGCTGGTAATAAATTCTCATTTACAGTATTTGCTGCAAGAGGTGTTCTGGTAGCTTTTTTCCAAAATGTTCTTTTCAATTTCGCGAAAAATATATAATATATTATTTATTTTGACGATTTTATGACATTTAACAGCTGTCAACTAACTTCAAGCTAACTTCAGCCCGTATCTAAAGCGCTTATGATGATTGATTTTTTACTTTTTATTGTGTTGAGCTGTAGTAAAAGTATACTTGTAATAGGTAAAACGCTAAATACAAAAGGTCGTATCTCATTTTAATTTGCTTTTATTTAATAAAGAAAACATCACTCTTATTGAAAAATCCTTTATAGAAAATAACTAATTTCAAATTCAGTAAAGAACCAGAAGAAATCTTTGAGCTCTTTATAATAGCACAAAAAAACTTGATTGAAAGCTATCTGTGATTGATTTCATATTAATCGATTCATTACATGGAAC